GAAACTGAACTCGGCTTTCAAAAAAACATGGTTACAGTACATTCATGATTTAACGGGGGGGCAGTAACTTTTTTGCATAGGGCCATGAGGGTTTGGATAGTTTTTTTTCCCCTTAAAATCATCACATAAAATTGCATTTTGCTTACTTGGGTTATCTTTGTCTAATTAAATTTGTTTGATGATCTGAAACATTTAAGTGTGACAGGTGCAAAAAAAAAAAAACCTGTTAGGGGGCAAATACTTTTTCACAGCACTGTATACTCTGATCTCTGTAGTTTAATTACACCACTGATACATATTCAGTTTACCGAGTGTACTGCAGCGCCTCCCTGCAGTACTGTAAGACTGTGTTCCTCTGTGTGCAGGTATGTGGATGATGTTATTTCTCGGATCGGCAGGATGTTTCCTGATATGACCATCGAGCTGTTCAGACCCAATGGGACGTCTGCTGTGCTGCTGGTACTGAAATACACATTACAACATACACCGTATAGGTGTGTTCAGACCAGGTATCAGGTGTGTCTGTCTAACCTGTTCCCCTCTCAGGTGACCCTGGGGAAGGTGTTGAAGGCGATTGTTGTGATGCGTTCACTGTTCATTGACAGAACTGTTGTTCGAGGGTTCAACGAGAACGTTTACAGTGAAGACGGAAAAGTAAGAGGTCAAATTCACCTGACGGGAAACCACTGATACCTGCCTATTTGTCTCCATGGTAACCTGTCTGCCTCTCCTCCTCAGCTGGACATCTGGACCAAATCTCAGTACCAGGTGTTCCAGAAGGTAAGACTCACCTGTCCTCATCTGAAATACTCACATGAGCTGGGTGAGCAGCACTCTGATTAGTTTTGTTGTTGCTAGGTAACGGAGCATGCCACCACCGCCCTGTTGCACTACCAGCTTCCCCAGATGCCTGACGTCGTGGTTCGGTCCTTCATGGTGAGACGCCGATCGATAACTGTCCATTAATCTCTATCTGTCTGCCGACCTGGGTGTCTCACCTGCCTCTCTGCCTGTTTGTATACCTGTCTGCAGACCTGGTTGCGGAGCTACATTAAGCTTTTCCAGTCTTCCTGTCAGCGTTGTGGGCATTTCCTGCAGGATGGACTTCCTCCGACATGGAGGGACTTTAGGACCCTGGAGGCATTTCATGACACCTGTCGCATGTAAACAAGCACTACCTGTTTATGGACTTTAAGTATTTGTTGGCTTTTTTTTGTTTTCTGTATAAAAAAGTTTGATTAAATATTTTTGCAGAAAGTTATGTGAATAAAGTTAAGTCAAAATAATATCAGTTATCCTCGGGAGCGTCGCCGGGCTGAGCAGCCGTTTTGGCATCATGTCTATAACTGCGTTCATCATGTGACGCCACCAGCCCAGAATGTGTTTTCCACAGTTTTACGATCTGGGTTTGAACCAGTAGCATTGTGAAAGTGATGTCTTGTTGCTTTTCTTCTTTTCTCTCTCCTCTATCCACTCACCCCAACCTGTCGAGGCAAAAGGCCTTCCACCAAGAACCGGGGTCTGTCGGAGGTTTCTTCCGTTAAAGGGAGTTTTTCCCCCTTTAACAAGGGAAAAACTCAGGGGGCGGGGGGCTTGTTGGGTTTTCCCTCTATATTAATAGTGAGGTCTTATAATGGCCAAGTATGTTACACACAAGGAATTTGCTTCCGGTACAGAACCAAGGCAGCTATTTCAAGTCAAATTTATTTATATAGCACTTAAAAAACAACATCCAGCTGACCAGAGTACTTTACATGGCAGAATAAAATCACAATAAATGACTAAAATAGAGTAAATAAGATCAGTGCAAATAAAAATGAAACGGCATAATAACACAGACACACAGTTAACATACATTCAATAAATGAAATTAAAAGGAATGCATAAAGCCCTACTATGTATTAAAAGCCAAGCCAAATATGTTTTAAGCAATGATTTAAAAGTACTGAGGTCAATAGCTGACCTTTTAGGGGGCTGCAACAGTAAAAGCACGATCACCCCAGCATTTATATCTGGCCCCAGGACCCTCTGAAGGAAACTTGCTTGAAGATCTGAGGGACCTTGTAGGTTTGTGCCAATGCACAAATTCAGTGAGGTAAGATGGTGCCAAACCATTAAGAGCCTTAAAAACAAAAATCAATAACTTAAAATCAATTCTAAAACGAACTGGAAGTCAATGGAGAGAAGCCAGTACCGGGGTTATATGGTCGAATTTCCTAGTACTTGTCAAAAGACGAGCAGCAGCATTTTGCACCATTTGGAGATGAGAGAGGGAGGACTGGTTAAGACCTAGGTATAGAGCATTGCAATAATCAAGTCTAGAAGTGATAAAAGCATGCATTGGAATCTCAAAATCATTAAAAGAAAGGAATGACTTGACCTTGCTAAACAGCCTCAGGTGGAAGAAGCTAGATTTCACAACTGAGTTGATTTGCTTGTCAAACCTCAAGTCACCTTCAAACATCACCCCTAGACTTTTTACAGTCGACTTCAGCTGTTGAGCTAGGGGGGGCCAGGCGCTGGTTAAAAGCAGTTAGGTTTGCCAGGTCATCAAAAGGCACACTCTGTCTTATTTTCATTGAGATTTAAAAAGTTAAGTGCCAACCATGATTTCAAGTCTGTCAGACAGTCAAACAGTGGCTGTAATGGCATCCCTCTTGATGCCTTTAACGGTAAGTAAATCTCAATGTCATCAGCATAACAATGAAAAGAAAGGCCATATTTCCTTAAGACAGATCCCAGTGGGAGCATGTACGAAGAGAACAAAATGGAACCAAGCGCAGATCCTTGGGGGACACCACAGGAAAAGATAGTTGAGGAGGATGAACAGGTACCAATATTAACAGTAAAACTTCTATTAGTGAGATAAGATCTGAACCAGTTAAGAACAGTACCTTGAATTCCTACACACTGCTCCAAATGAGATAGGCAGATTTCATGATCCACTGTATCGAAGACAGCGGTGAGATCTAAGAGCACTAATAAAACCGAATCCCCGGCATCTCTGGCCAACAGGATATAGTTACTGATTTTTAATAATGCAGACTCAGTACTATGTTTTATTTTATATCAGATTAAATTGCTCCTCAATGCCATTGTTTGTAAAAAAAGACTGGAGTTGGATAAAAGTCTTCTCCAGAACTTTAAACATAAAAGATAATTTAGACACTGGTCTAAAATTTGACCACACTAAAGGGTCAAGATTTGGCTTTTTGACAAGAGGCTGGACAATCATTTTTTTAACAGCAAATGGAACTGAGCCTGTCCTTAAACATAAATTAATCAGAGCCATAAAGCTAGTAAGCCCAACGGAGTCAAAACATCCTTAAACAATCTAGTTGGCAAACAATCCAAAGAACAGTGAGATACTTTCATGTGGTGGACCAGTTCAGATAGCATAGGCAAGGATACAGGTTCAAACTGATCAAAGACAGCAGAATGCAGAGGAATATCAGCTGGGTCAGGATTAGTCGAACCGAACTGCCTAATGCTAGTGATAGTGCCTAATGCTTTAAATCAGTAAAATATTGAAGAAAACCCTCACATACTGCTACTGATGCCTCAGGATGAGAAGCAAGGTTACACGGGTTGATAAAAGAATTAATTGTACTGAACAAAACCTGAGGTTTATGATGATTATTGACCACAATGTTGGATAGGTTGTTTGATTTGGCAGACTATACAGCCTTTTGATAGTCAGAGAGACAATCCCAGAAATGGTGGAGAGAAACATGAAGTTTATCCTTCTTCCATTTACGTTCAGCTTGCCCACATCTTTGCCTAAGTGCCCGAGTAGAGTCGTTTAGCCAGGGCACTGTTTGCACCTTGGCTGGTCTGCATCGAAGAGGGGCGATAAAATCCAATATATCCTGGCAAGTGGTAGTTAAGAGTTTAAGAATTCCTCAGGTTTCATAAAGGAGGAGACATCATTCATCAAATACAGACCAGAGTTTTAAAAATTAATAGAAAACTCTACTGCTGTAGAAGAAGTGACAGTATGTCTAA